GCTATCCATGCCAAACTTTTAACAATTACGGCAAAAGATATCCAGCTAGCTCACCACATACGCGGAGAGCGTGCTTAAGAGTCCACTATGAGGGGAAACATTTCATTCTCAAAAAAAAAATTTTTTCCCCTTCTTCCTGTTATCAGTAGTTCTGAATGTTAGATATTTTTTCCATGGGGTCAAAGGCACCTAAGTATATGATTTCGAGTGGAAACATAGGGGACAGAATCAGGTATTGGCAGTTTCTCCACGTTCATTTGTGTGTGAATTTTTAATATAAATGCAAGATGTAAAGTATTAATGAAAGCAAAATGTTTCAGTGAACGCATTTCAACAGTTCAACTTTATAACAATTATAAATAAACCTGTTAAAATTTTCTGGACAACGGCAGCATTTGGATTTTTTTTAAATAAGTAAATTTCTTATTGACGGCAACTAACTGGTGTTTGTAGCATTTTTATCATCCAGTAGATTCCATCCATCACTATACTTCTCTAACTAAGTTGTCCTACATGCAAGTACATGTTTTTAATGTTGTCTGTCTTCTGTGCTGTTCCTGTAAGTTTGCTATTAAAATACATTAAACTATATAAAAAAAGATATTTAATTAAACTAAAATATAAGCACAGAGAGTCTACATGGGAAAATAAAGATATAAATTGTCTCCAGTGGGTATTCTGAGTAATCACATTAGAAAGGGGAATGCAGTAGATAAAATAATGTTCCCTATCATGTTGGTAAGTAAGAGGAAATCATTTCTCTATGTGATAAAATGTTCCTTTGTTCATAAGCAATGACTTGATCTTTCTTTCCCAAATCAGTTGATGCTAACAGGGATTAATATCCCATGCTCTGCAAACATAAAATCAAAGGCCCTGTCTTGTGTACAGGTGTACAAGTGCATATACATGTGCAAGCATGTGCATATAGAGGCCAAAGGACAACCTCAGGTGCTGTCAACAAGATACTGTCCACTTTGTATCTGACCTGGGACTTGATAAGCCCCAGAGATTCACCCATCCGCTGCCTCCCAAGTGCTGAGATTGCCAACAACATGTGACACCAGTCCCAGCTTTACCATATGGGTTCTTAGGACTGAATTCAGGTCTTCACCACTGCATGGCAAGCACTTTACTGAGCTCATGGTCCTGCCCAGAGCAGCTGTCTTGCTAAGAAAAGGCAAATTAGTCATTAAGCCCAATCAACATGGGAAAACTCAATAAAGCTTTCAGATCCTAAGCCAGTGAAATGATTCAGTGAGTAAAAGCACTTGTTGGGAAGCCTGATGACCTGAATTTGATCCTCTGACCCCCCCCCCCAAAAAAAGGTGGAAGGAGAGAACCAAACCAATTCCACAAAGTTATCCTCAGACCACACACACACACACACACACACACACACACGCACACACACGCACACACACTTTTAAAAAAAGATTTACTATTCTTATTTATAAGTGAGTATACCTTTGTACATTCATGTGCATCATGTGTGTGAAGGAGTCTGTGGTACCAAAAGATGTCAGAATCCTGAACTGGGCTGTGGGCATCAATGATTCATCATGTAGTGCTGAAAATAAACCTGGGTCCTCTACAGGAGCAAGAAGAACCACTGAAACATCTCTCCAGCCCTAGTAATCTTTATTTCTAAATTTCTGATCCTGAGAGGCTACAAATTTTCTAGAACTTAGGTAACTTCTTGACACCCATAGATACTTAAGTACTAAATATATTTTGATTTTTAAGTATTTATTGCCTTTATTAAGCTCTATTATAGCTCATTTAATACAGCATGGACTTCAACTTGAATACAGTATAAAAATAATAATACTAAGAGTAATAGCTGACATTTCTCAAGGGTTCACTGTGTACTTAGAACTTACTATGAAACCCAGGTTAGACTCTAAACTATGTAGCCCACCCAAGTTGGCAATCCTCCTGCCTGCCTCAGTCGCCCAAGTGCTGGGAACACTGATGCAAACACTCCCATGTTAACTGAAAATCACTCTTTTCTAGTTATAAGTACAGATCCTGTGAAGTTCTCATTCATTACTCTGCACTCTGCAAGATAATTAATCGCATTAGTAGAAATTTAAGGTAGGGCTAGAGAGATGGCTCGTGGTTAACAGCACTGCTGCTCTTCCAGAGGACCAGAGTTCAGTTCCCAGCAACCACATAAGGTGGTTCACAGCCACCTGTAACTCCAGTTCCAAGGGATCCGATGCTCTCTTCTGGCCTCAACAGGCACTTGCACACATATAGCAGACACAGATAAAAATATATCTTTAAGAAAAAAAATTTAAGCCAGGCAGTGGTGGCGCACCCCTTTAAACTAATCCCAGCACTTGGGAGGCAGAGGCAGGCGGATCTCTGAGTTCGAGAGTTCGAGGCTAGCCTGGTCTCCAGAGTGAGTTCCAGGACAGCCAGGGCTACACAGAGAAACCCTGTCTCGAAAAAAACAAAATTAGTACTCAAAATTAAATTTTATTCATTTTAATCTCTTTCTGTATGATTTCCTATTTATTTTCAAATTTATAAAGTTAGTATATCCAACTGACTGCTACATTCAAAATTTCCTTTTTCTCTTTTCAACTTGATATTACAAGATAGAGAGAGATAAGAGATAGAGATGGGGGGGCAGCTAGCTAGCTAGCTGTGGTAGAACATGTCCAGCAAGCAGAAGGCAGAGACAAGAGGGTCACTACAAGTTCAAGGCCAGCCTGGTCTAGCTATTAAGTTCCAGGCAAGGAATAGTGAGATCCTGTGGAAGAAAGAGAGGGAGGGTGAGGTTTCACTAAGTAGTCTTTTGCACACTAGCAATACTGTTTCTTTTTCTCATTTTTACTTAATTTACTGTTCTTGCATGGGTGAAGGTCAGGGAACATCTTTCAGGAGTCAGTTCTCTCCTTCTACCATGGTTTCAGGTCACCAGGCTTGGTAGCAAGCACTTTCATTAGGTGAGCAATACACTGGCTTTTCTCCTTTACATGATGCCAGTTGTAGAAGGATATCCAATTTATAAAAACTCACCAAGCTGTGCACTTTTCTGTACATGCATATACTACAATGAAAATTTGTTATTTAAAAGTTTATGTTTCAAAGCTGGGTGTGATGGCATATGCCTACAGTATCAATACTCTGAAAGGAGCAGGAAGATCATTAATTACATCAAGGCCAGCCTGGGCTACATAGTTATATAGGAATCCCTTGTCTCAAAAGTCAAGTTTCTTAACTTTACTTGACTAAAGACCATTACATACAATCATATTTAATCCTTCATCCAATAGTAAGTAATATCCAATTTCTATTCCTACTATATGAGAAAAAAGAAGCATCCAAAATAATCTATGTAATCAGAAAGTGCTGCTTCTTTTACAAACCTCCAAGACTAGAAGCTCTCAAGGGACAGAGGCACGCTATTTTAAGTTCTGTGTGCTCACCCCATTTTTAGTCACCTTCTCAGCCAGCTACATCCCACAATCTGACAGACTGCCCCAACAGACAGTGGTGTATCTACCTGTCCCATACAAAACTAAGGTTTCAGAGCTGAATGCTTCTTTAAACCAGAGATGCTACTGGGTAGGAGCACTTGCCACCAAACCTGGTGACCTGGGTTCAATCCTTGGGAACCACATGGAAGAAGGAAAGAACCAACTCCTGTTGGCTGCTGACTTCTGACCTCTATGTGCATGCACACCCATGCACACCTACATATTCCCACACACACCATAAATAGATAAAGCTTAATGGCCTCTACAGCCTTACACTAGCCTTGAGCAGGAAAATGTGACAGAACTGACCTGTATGACCCACACAATGGACACACAAGGCAGATGTGCTTCCTCCTGGCTTGGTCTCCTTTGGAACACGTATCTTAGAACTGGTCACCAGATTATGAATTGCTATCGTGCATATATCCTCAGATACACCTTCATTCAACAAGGTATATGAACTACCAGGCCTGATGACCAAGCCACTTCAAGATGATTCCAAACCCTGTGTTCAAGTCTTCCAGCCAGATCCCACATAGCATGGATCAGAGCAAGCCATCCCACTGCACCCTGATTGGTCTCCTTGACCACAGAAATTGATGACTGCTGTTTGAAGCTGCTGTGCTTCTGAGGTAACAATACATAACAGAAACTTAAACCTTATCATGGCCGGGCGGTGGTGGCACACGCCTTTAATCCCAGCACTTGGGAGGCAGAGGCAGGCGGATTTCTGAGTTCGAGGCCAGCCTGGTCTACAGAGTGAGTTCCAGGACAGCCAGGGCTATACAGAGAAACCCTGTCTCGAAAAAAAAAAAAAAAAAAATTCCAGCACTCAAGAGACTGCAGCAGAAAAGTGTAAGTTCAAGGCTAGCTTGGGCTTTAACGTAAATCTCCTTGTCTACTTCCCCTGGGTTCTATAATCTGAGCCCAGCTTATTTGATCTAATTAATTTCACTCCAATTTTTTTTGAGAAAAACATAATCTCTCACCACTCTCTCCCAATTCACTTTCTCCCTCTTTCTCTTTTGCTCATACATTTGCCCAGATCTACAAGTGATGCTGAAATATCCCTCCCCAGCCTGACAGTCAGGGTGTGCCCCAAAGAGTTAACAGAGCACAGTAATGAAGTTAGATGGTCTCCAGCCTGCCCATAGTTAGAGGAAACAACCCTCTAAGGGCTGTAGGGATGGTGGCCCATGGAATGGCCAAAGTAAAAGCCACCAGGATAAGTCACTGCACAGGCTCCCTTTCTGGCCTCTTCTGCCGCCCACCTGCCTGGTCCATCAGCCAGCACCGCCTGCTTGCAGCCTGCCTCATCACTTCAGCCCTTAGTGCCTGCATGTCATGAGTCCCCCCCATCCACTTGGCTGTCTGCAGCACTCCTGACATCCCCTCACTCATTGTCAGCCTGGGAACGGCTCCTGGAAGGCAGCCATGTGTAAGGAGCACCCTCATTTGTCCAGGAGCCACTAATGATTTCAGTGAGCATGGTATTGCTTCATGACTTACCGGGCATCTCCTTTGGAAAGATTTGTATTTACAGGATTCAGAATAACTTTGTTTGCTTCAACATCCACCACACATTTGGTATGTAAGTCAATTTCTGAAAGAAAAAAAAAAGTAAGAAAAAAAAGCCATCATGCTTAAGAAATAAATCATTTCTGGGAAAGCATTTAACAGAAATCCCACAGTGTTCTGTGAAAACTATACTAAGAATAGATGGGAACTTTCTCAGTCTAATAAAGCTAATATCATACTTGATGGTGAAAAGCTGGACAGCTTAACCTCCAACATCAGCACAAGGATGTTTACTGATCAAATTCTACTCAGCTCTGCACTGGACATTCTGGTCAGGGCAGTCAGGCAAGAAAAACTAATACAGACATCCAGACTAGGAAGGAAGGAAGGTATAAATTCTCTATTTTGCAGATGGTTCCACCTTATGTACTGAAAAGTCCTATAGGACCCACTAAAAAAGATCAAACAGTGTGTGTGTGTGTGTGTGTGTGTGTACTGTGTGTATGTGTACATACTGTGTGTATATACTGCGTGTGTACATAATATACTTTTGAATATAGAAGTATCCATTGTGTTTTACACCAGCAATGGAAATATGAAAATCAAATTTTTCAAAAATTGTACTTAAAATAGCATCAAAACTTTTAAATTGGAATAAATTGAAAATAAATCAATTTGTATAATGAAAACTCTATAACACAGTTGAAAGAGTTAAGGACTTAAATAAGTAGAAAGACATTCTACATTCACAAATAAAATCTTCACACTGCTAAGACAGCAATAACTCCCTGAGCACAAGGTTCACAGCAGGGGCCTGGGGCTATAGTGGCAAGAGCTCAGGAAACTGAGTAAATCCTTACACCCTTAGAAACATGGGTAGAGGTGGGAATCAGATAGAGAAAAGACCAAACAAAACAAAAGAAAAAAAAGTTTGCCAACCGCATCTATATACTGAGGGACTAGAATATATAGAGAACTCAACTGCACATGGAAATGCAGGAGGTAATCAATTACTTAGGAGTAAACGGCAGACAGATCAGGAGTTCAAGATAACCCCCAGAAGAATAGAGATGTGGAGACCAGCCTAGTCAAGAAATACTGTCTCAAACAACGAAGTCTTACACTTCAAACGATCAATAATCCAATTTTCAAATGGGCAAATTACCAGGACACCTCTCAAAACAGGTACAAAAATGCCCAGTGAGCACAGGAAGACACGTAGCACCATGTGGTGTAAATGGTGTCACCAAACACCACAGAAAGGCAAATAAAACCACAGTGAGATGCCCCCTGACACCCACTCAGAGAACAATAACCAACAAGACAAAAACAAAGGTTGGCAAGGATGTGCAGAAGGCACATGACTGGCACACAAGTGGGCCAATCACTTGGGAAAACAGCTCAACAGTTCCTAAAAAAGCTAAGCAGGATCACCATACAACCCAGCAACTCTAGATACATGGCCAAGAGAAACACAGAAACCTGCATCCACACAGAAATTACTAGACAAATGTTCATGGCAGTGTATTTTGTATAAAGTAGAAAAAAAAGTCCACCAAAGCAAAACACAGATAATGTGAATTGCCACAGAATGGAACATTATTCAATAATTAAAATGAGTAGGGCCAGTGAGATGGCTCAGCAGGAAAAGGGCTTGATGGGCAAGCCTGATGACCTGCATTCCACCCTTGGAACAACCCACAGTGGAAGGAAGGAATCAGCTCCACAACTCTGTCGTCTGATCTCCACATATGCAGGTTAGTACACAACAATAAGTGTTAAAGTAATAAAATGAATGAACTCCTGATGCAAGCCACTTGGCTGAGGCTTATAGTGACCTAAAAAAGACAGTTAAAGGCCAGTAAGATGGCTAATTGGCAAAGGCACTTAAAATGCAAGCCTGCAACCTGGGTTCCTTCCCTGTTGCCCATGTAAAGGTGGAAGGAGAGAACCAGTCTGACCTCCACACATGCACCATGGCATGCACACACCTGTACATACATGTCATGCATACACATACCACCACCACCAACAACAACAACAACAATAATAATAATAATAATAAACTTTAATAGACAGTCACTAAAAACCACATGGTATGAGATTCCATTCAATCTAAGCACCCAAGTGGAGAAACAGACAAAAGAAAAGGCAGATGAGGGGTGTCTGTGCAAAGGAACGACTAGTTTTCTTTCTTCAGGGTGACAAAATGTGTTCCTGAGTACACAGCTGAGCGAACTAGGAACCACAAAGTTGGCTACACTGTTTGGGTGGAAATCATGTCTGAGCACAGCTGTTTAAAGACTAGTCTGCCTCGTATTTGTGTTCTCTAGTTTTTATATTCTTCTATTTGCCTGACCCAAAGAATGAAACTGCTTCAGCATGCCTTACTCCCCACTGCCAAAAGATAAGCTCTCAGGAAAGGGGCTGTGCCCTGTGGACTCAGTTCCCAAATAAGCTTGGCCAAAAGACTTCGTGACATTTATGATAAAGTACTTCCATGTCAGAGAAGCCAAGTTTTTACTCATTTTAACTTACATAGCATTTGCAAAAAAGCTCCTCCTTTGCTAGCCCTAAGTTAACTTTTGCATATCTACTACAATTTGATTTCTCTCCAGTTTTACCTAGATGTGAAAGACTAATTCCAAAAGGGAAGTTCTGCCCTGTGGTGGCCAGTTAGTCTTGGCATCTACTTCCAATGCTTTGGGCTCGAAGCAGATCTAGTGTCCCCAAAAGGAGACAAGAAAGGCTCGGCACTCAGGGGGCAACTTTTACACACTCAAGTGTGCCCTGCTTCTGTGGGTTGAACTTGAGGATATACAGCCATGGAGATTCGGTAATAGGCTTGCCCAGTGGTATCTGACCACACTGCATGAGCTGGCCCTTCACATAGATCTCCCTTACACAAACACATCAGTAAAGCACCGGAAGCACTGACTCAGAACCCACAATCTCACCGCCCACCACAAAGCCAGTGTAGCTTTGAGCTTGCTAAGAATGCCTGCTGGCCTACCTGCAAAACTGAGTTTTTACTAAGAATGTACAACCAAATTATCTTGAATTGGGAGAGGGCTCAAGGAATCTAAACATTTTCCTTCAACATCCATACACCTGTATGCTTTTGCCCTGCTTGCCACCACTTTTTTTCAGACAGAGTATTACTTTCACCCAAGCTGGAATCAAACTCATGATCCTCTTACCTCAGTTTGCCACGAGCTGGGATGCAGGTATGTGCTTAAACTCCTAGCAAGCTCCACTCTCTTAACAGCTTCTTCTGCATCGCACACACACACACACACACACGTATACACACACACCATGTAGGTCATCAAATCCAATTAATAAATGGATTTGATTAATGGTATGATTAAGAAGCTGGAAACTGTCATCACCAAGAATCACTTAGTAATTAAAACATCGAACATAAATTCACTTTATGCCAGACACTGACATTTATAAATACCCCTATATGCCACTCAAAGGCAGCCTTTAACACATAATTAGCTATCAGCAATTCTTTATTAGCTCAGGGTTTTTTGTTTATTCATTTATTTTTTTTGTTGGGAATGGTTTCTTGAAACCCTGTAGCCCAGACTGGAACGCAAGGCCATCCTCCTGTTTTGTGCCTCTGGAATGTTGGGATTACCAGAAATGAGAAGCCACACCCATAGCTCAATATTTACCAAATAAAACTCCACCCCAATTCTGTCAACTGGTGGACAGACTTAAGAGAGGCTTTTCACAGGAGTGTTTAGAATGTGTCAGGGTTTACAGGCTAGGACATAAACCCAAATAACCAGTGAGGTCTGGAGAGCTTGAAGGCTGGTTATCCAAGAAAGCATTTTAGGGGATGAAGAGAAGGCTCAATGGATAAAAGTACTTTACTCAACATGAGAATCTGAGTTTGATCCCAAACACCCACCTAAAAAGCTTAGCATGTTTGCAACAAAATGACACACTCTAGGTTCAGGGATGGACTGCATCTCAAAAAATAAGGTGGGGAGTAACTGAGGAAGATCCCTGGCATCATCCTCTAGCCTCCACTTGCACACACACTGACACACACACATATATCACACAGTGGGGACAAGGGCTATGTACTACCTCTGTGAAAATAAAGCTACAGAGGTCATTCAAAGGAGCATTATTCATACTCTCCAAAAGTGGAAGAAGCCCAGGAATCCATTACAACATGTACATACACACACACAAACACACACACACAGGAGTAACATTATTCAGCCTTTAAAAACAAACAAATGGTGTTATATTTGTTTTTGAGACAGGATCCCATGTAACATAGGCTATATATAGCTGAGGCTGCCCTTGAACTCTCAATCCTCCTGTCTCTACTCCTAAGTGCTGAGACCACAGGTGTGCGACACCACGCCCACTTCAGGGTTGAACCTTGAGGTTACTGTTAAGTGAAATGAATGAAGCAGTCACAGAAGGAAAAGTACCAGAAGATTCCACTTACTAGAGGTCCCAGAGTCAGATTCACAGAGACAGAAAGGAGAATGGCAGGATCAGCAGGCTGGATAGGAGTTAGGCAGTTAATAGTTGTACAATTTCAGGGGTTGGGGGGGGTGTTTTGTTTTCTTTCCTTTTTTTGGGGGGGGGGGGGCAGGATGAGAGGCAGGGCCTCACACTGTAGCCCAAGCTGGTCAAAACACTTGCAGCAATCCTCCAGCCTCTGCCTCTGGTCTCTATCTTCCAATTGCTAGGACTGGTTATACATCACCACACCTGATTGTGATGTGAAGAGGCTCATGGGATGGTGATGATGGCAACTCAATGTGAAACGGCCTTACTGTCTCGGACCAACACACTTAAAATGGTTCAATCATTACCAAATACTAATCATTATTACAATAAATAATATGGGCACATTTATTCATAATAAAACCTAAAGTATAAGCCGGGCAGTGGTGGCGCACACCTTTAATCCCAGCACTTGGGACGCAGAGGCAGGCGGATTTCTGAGTTCGAGGCCAGCCTGGTCTACAGAGTGAGTTCCAGGACAGTCAGGGCTACACAGAGAAACCCTGTCTTGAAAAACCAAAAGAAAAGAACAACCTAAAGTAA